AGATGTAATGAAGCATCTGGAGATAATAACCTCGAGTTTCCAATAAATTTATGCCATTCATCGATGTAAATAATGAAATTGGGAGAGCAGAATGGGGACAACACACATACCTGTGGAATCTCGTGATCGCAGGAGGGGGCGGAGCCGATGTTGGGGACACTGTGACCGGATGATGACGTCGCATTCATCAAGAGATACATCTCCGGTGTTTCTGGCCTTGGGGTATGCGGCCTGAGAAACTAATATCACCGCTTCCTATGGCAGACGTTTGCATGTGATTGCATTTATGGCTCAGAGGTACTGAATACTCGTAAATTATGTAGGGAATAGTTCCATTGGCATTTGTGAGTTGGTGAATTGATTACTTTAAAAAAAAGTGGAAAAATGTACAGGAACATTTTATGTTCATTTTCAGAAATTTAGTTGGTTGGAAGTGCTTCAGGCGATGATGCCTTTTTCGAAGGATCCTTCCCAATGTATTTTTTCAGAAGTATAATGAGGACTATCGTAGAAAATGTTCTTTTCTGACGGTTTTTTTGAGGATTTTTTCAGCGTCAAAAATGAATCAACCATTGAAGATGAAGTAAGATGGATCGAATACATGAATCAAAATACTAAGAGTCGGATTTCCTGGGTCAAGTTTCACGAAAAATATATTCAAGATCAAATATCATGGATCAAACACCAATAAAATATCAAAGGTGAAATTTCATGTAGAAATTCTCTTAACGTGTCCATAAATGACCAAAATCCACAGTGATCCCTAAATCTCTTACAAATATAATCATCTCTCCCCATATTTACACATCTGAACCACCTCCAAAAACATCACCCTTCGTCACAAATTAATAACCCTTTGTCAGCATCCAGACAACAACAAGACGTTTGACGTTAGCATTAAGACTAATGCATTCCCATTCGTATCCACCACTTCTCTCCACAAGTCACGTAGTTCCTCGTATTTGCTAAAAGCACCATAGTGTGACTGACTGTTGGAACTCACCCTAAGAGGGTGGATCCACTGTCTAGGTTGAAGTTAAGCCAGCCGTGTACCTAGGATGGCACACAGCTACCCTTATATTCGCCGCATTCATCAACCTCGGGATGAAACTGGGTTTGCCCTGGGCGTTGGTAACAGGTACACCACCATGAAGGATTGGAATAGGAGGTGGCGAGGCGGAGGGGGATAAGTAGTACGCGACGAAAACGTTTGCCGCCATACCAGGATGAGAGACATACTGTTAGTCACAGGGTTCTAACAAATTGTTCCGACACGACTACATCCTCTAGGCGCGTTGTCATTTTCAAGTGAATGTGACCGTATGCACCAGGAGGAGTAGGAGAGGGCTGGAAATGGGTGTAAACGTGCCTTTGAGGATCACTGTTTACCTACAATGTGGTTTGGCTGGTTGTATGTGCTGTCCTGTCTCATTATCATAGACACTTCAGCTATGGGAATTACTATCAAGTGATTCTTGGAGGGAAGAAATAGACATTGATGTTTGTTTACGGTTTCCAGGAAATGATGAGCTGAACAGAAGAGCTTTAGTTTTTGAGCTCTCATTCAAACCTAATTTACCACAATGAGTGGAACAGCGCTGTGACTTTCGATTTGATTTCAGTAGATTTTTCAGCTATTTCAAGTGATGTGACTGACCCCATCACGTCGCAGCTCGGGTTTGTTGTGAGTAAAATTGAATTATATGAAGAAGAAACATCTCAAGTCATTACCTACTTGATTCAAGTTGAATCAACAAATTGGACTGCACAAGTTACCTGTTTCATGCAGTAAATCGTGACTTTATACAAGTAAAATTTAAACTCAATACAATTCAGTAGAATTGAATCAAGTCATAGAATTTACTCGAAACAAGTCGAACCTGACCTGAATCTAGTTACAGAATACACTTGAATTAAATTAAAGCCGACCTGAATCAAGACAAAGAATCAACTTGAATAAAGTCGACCTCAATTTGAATCAGGTCACTAAATCCACTCGAATCAGATTCGGCCCGTCCTGCATTGATCTATAGAATTTATTTAAATCAAGTCATTTCTGACCTGATTTAGACCGCCCATCATGGCATGAAAGAAACCAATTCATGATATGATTTCGTGTTGCGACATTTATACAGGAAATTTTTTTCGACTGGAAACTGATAATTCGTTCATCCGAACCAAACTCTCAAAGGCTTTTGATTCCAGGCAAATACTTATGCGCAATTTGTTAATTTCAATGAACCCTTGGCATGTAAACGTAAAAGTAGAAGTACCTGACCATGAACCACGTGTTCTCACGGTCTGGTGGAATCTGTGCCCGTCATCTAACCACTTCCGGTCCCACGGTTTCGGACATAAATTGCAACTGGCTACACTACGATCTTGCATTTAGCACAGGGGGTCGAGCAAACATACGGCTGGTCTCACTAATTAATCACAGCTTGACAAATCGCCCGTAGCCACTTTTGGAGCTTTTTCCCTCTCGTGATTCGTAATCCGGTTATAGGGAACTTAAAACGTCTATCAAAACAGAAGTTCGAATATATTTTCTGCCGGGAGAAACTTTCATCAAAGTTTTTGATTGAATTACTCTCACCTTTCCTTTTCCTTCTTCGGCGAAAAGTTCTCAACCTTTAAAATGTATCATAAAATCTGGTTATAATAGTCAATATTATGCAGAAGCTCAGGGCTGTAATTAAAATCGACATGTTAATAGAAACAAGTTCATGTTGACTTCCGGAGGAAGCACCAGCTAGTGCTATTCCTTTATACAGAGGTATCCATTTTCCAAACATCAGTGTTGAATTAATGACTATTTCATTCCCGCCAATTAAAATCCTTGTTTCGATAACTGGTTTTCCCGGTGATATGCACTGGAAAGGTAAATGGATATTCCATCAATCAAGGCAATTGTCAGAATCAGAGAAAAGTGAAAGTCGTGAAAAACTCATAATTCTCAAATTATGAGTTCTAGATGAAGCAAAATGAGGAAGCTTCAGCAAAGAAAGTTCCCAGAGGTATTGATTTCACCAATCCCACTCAATCCCCCACCCTACACAAGCGTAACACCGTTCCTTCCCTACCCTACACCGAGCAAACAAACATTGAGGATTCACTCGATGAAAATAGATGCTCGTCCAACTTTTTCAACCGTATTTTGATCACAGAAGCACGACGCCTAGTGACATCCACCCGAATAATCCATTCAGCTCCACTTTACATGCGTATTGCGACTAGTTGAATTGATTTAGACTTTATCACCCTCTTTCGCGAAAGCATACATACCTTGACGCACACATTTTGTATGCAGACTGGTTGTCCCCGTTGGTCATGGTAGATTTTCCAATTGAGCCTGGTATACATTACGACCGGCAAAGCGTCAAAGTGAAGGTAAAGAGCATGACTGAGGGAGGGTGGAGGGGACGGTAGTGTGAGTTCTAGCGTCGTGTCATGCCGGTTTGGGTTTCAACCACCCTTACATAACCAGAGCACCAATGCGCGTCCGTTTAATCAAAGACTTCCTGGATTGTTGGAGCAACCGCATCGTGCCCGCATTACTCTCAAGTGGCACCCAGCTCTCCACCACCCACTTTCTACCCTCGTTCACCGCCTCTACCTCCCCGTCCAACCTGCTTTCAACCCTCAACTGCACTGTGGATGTTTACTCAATGTGTTTCCAACCCCCATACCACACAAGTACTCAGTGAACACGCGTCGCATTTGGCCGTTTCATAACAGCCGTTCCGCGTTATCTTTCTGACCAGCGAGAGAGATGGAATGGTATAAGGGCCCTCAACTCGACATTAACCAAGCCTTCAGCACCATTTATGACTGCTACTGGCAAAGCTAACTGTTTCCGTTTAAGCTCTTGTGGTGTAATAATATTTAACGTTGAAATTGCATTCTTCTGGTGGTTGGGTTTTCCTGGTTAGAGGTATTGGATGGGTTTTTGAGAAAGGGTTGTTTGTTGTTGGAGGAAATGGTATGGAGGGGCTTTATTGGGGGTGAAATCAGATGAAACGATCAGAAGATTGAAAGCTGTCGTGTCGGGACAAGGGAGAGGTTCCAAGTGCGAATTCTTGATGGTTGTATGAATTGGAAAAATTTCCTACCCCGGGGTTTCGTAATACGGAGGCTAAGATACGTTGCCTGGGGTTGGATTAGTCCTGGGGTAAGTCTGTCTTAACCAGATATCGCCTATTACTGGATCAGCCCCCGGTTGGCAACATTGGGATAAGCTTAGTTCCTAAGTGTTGGACCACGGCTGGATTAAGAAGTTAATGGAATCAAGTATGGCAATCAATGCTGAATGAAGTTCATGACAAGGCTATCAACCGTCGGTATATCGAAGCTAAACCTTTGTAACTTTCAGTGTTGGTGATTCCTACCTGTAACGATCATATCTAGCCAGTCAATCAGCCAGGTAGGGTTCAACGATGCATTTTTTAAATCTTCCGATAAAATTCTCATCAACTAACGATAGTGTCTTGATGCTTTGATTGAATGACCACATGATGGTTAATAAATTATTCATCCTGCCAAATATTTTCCAAAAATATGCGACGGAATATCATTTACCCTCAATTTGCTGACCACCAATTTCCCTAATTGCATCCACTCAGTCCCTTGAACCGCCTTAAATCAATAACCTGATCCTCGATTGATTCATACACATATGCACCAGCACCAACACCCACAATTCATTATAATAATATCTCCAGTAGATACCATGTGCATGCAATTAGCAATTAAAATCGTAGATTCAGTAGCAACGGATTCAGGTAGATTGCAGTGGATGAAGCGGCAATAGGGACTATATGATAACATTGCCGTAGCATTTCGATATCGACCCTGGGATTATAATTACTATTTGTACCCAGTGATACATTATTAGTTGGCTGATTTGCATATACGATCCCGTGTGCATTCAGCGCCAAGGTACATATCGAAATATTTGATTATTGCATTATTATGAATACTGGTGAAAAGTACTGACTTACATCATTTTGAGCGAAAGTTGGGGTTATTGGGCCATCGCTTGCCTCCCATTTGTCCGCAATGCGAATTGTCTCGGCTGTCTTCTGCTGCACGGACTTGGATTCGTCAAGCAGTGTCAGCTCATAGAATTCTTGAATATCTGTAAACAAATGAAATTTGGGGATTACTGAGAGGGAACAATTCGGCATTCAGAATGAATACTGGCAACAGCAATCATTTAAACTTTCACATCGAAGTGTTAAACTCAATTAAGACTCACAAAGAGACCGCTTATCCCTGAATTGGTGATAAAGTTTCGAATCATTCGCCGGATAAATTAATTGAAATCCACGGCATTGAAATTAAATTCTGACAGTTCACTTGTGAAGGTCTGAAAATTTGAGAAAGTTCATAGCAGTTATGCGTTGAAACCTGAGGAAGTCAATTTAATTGTCCTTTAAAGATATACAAATCTAGCCATTGGAATTTAATGCTACAAATTTTCCAGAACAATAAATTAAATCAGGAGATAAAGATTTACCACACACGGCGAATCATTGCTGAGAGGCCACAGGAGCTCTTTGAAGAATTTGGTTCAGGAATTCATTTGATCAGAAATTAGGAATTAAGATGTTAATTTCTCATGAACTCTCCATCGAATAACAATACTGGGTTAAACCTGACAAAAATCTCACTTCTCCTTAAATTTGTGATAATGTTTCAAATCACTTTCTGGATAAATTGATTAAAATCCACGGCATTGAAATTAAATTCTGACCGGTTGCTTGTGGGAATTCGAAAATTTGATTAAGTTTGTAACAGTTGTGCGTTGAACCATGATGACATAACTTTAATTCAGATTTAGAGATATACTATAATAGTAATTTTGAATCAGGAGATGGACACGAATTTACCAAACATGGTGAATCACTACCCAAAAGCCACCGATGCTCTTTGAGAAATTTGGTATGAATGGGTAGTACATAAAATCATGCTTTCTCTGAATACCCGAGTTTCATACTCAAATAACCCGAAGGCAATGGTAGTCGGGTTAACTCTGGTCCGTGGGATAGGTCATAAAGGTCACTATATCCGAGAATGTCGCGATAAGGGTAGAACATAATTTTCAATAGTTTAGACCACAGTGAGCAGAGCGAGAATGGAGAATCCAAGACCCCTATGTACATGGAGCTGAGGGGAATATATCATTTACCCCCCAAGACGTGTCTACTGCAGGTCAGGTGTGGGCCTCGGAAACCCGTAACTCCTTGCTATATGAGGGGGAACATTCCGTGGTTACGTCTAGACTGCGACAATTTGCAGATGTGAGTAAATATCAACAGAATGGTGGGAGAGGATCGCTCATCTAATTGCTGCTATGATGGAGACTCGAACGTCAATACGGTTGAGTGAGTTGATATTGATGAAAGTATGATCTCGGAAAGGGAATCATACGTTGGTGGTCACACTCAAGATATTTAATTTCACCCGGAATGCGGAAATGAGAATGGTTCTTTTTCAATGAATTCTTGAGGAATTCAGCATTGGAAATCTAACTTCTGGTCAATTTGAGAATCTTCATGAATTAAGACGTTAGACATTTTTTTTCGGAAATGAGTAATTGAGAATCGAATTTTTTGGGTATTCTTCAGGATTGGAAATCTAAATCCTAAGTAATTTCGCAAGTAATTTGGGAAATTTACAAAATTTGCAATGGCTGCTCAGGAATTACGAATGAGAAATCGAATTCCTAATAAGTGCCAATGGAGTTAGGAATTAGGTATTCATTAAATCAGGAACTGAAAATTGAGAAGCTAATTTCTGATTCATTCCTCAGGATTCTGGAGTAGAGTATCAAATTCGTTGGAATTTAGATGTTGATTTGGTATGAATTATTTAGGATTCGTAATGATCTTTCGAGAATTTTGCATCAGGAATCAAATTCCCAATCTCTCAACAACTCAGAAGTAAGAATGGAATTGTTCATGCTTCTCTTAGGAATTTAGAACTTGGTTCTTATGTTCAGTCCTTTAAAAGTTAAAGATCGATAAACAAATTCCTGGGAATACCGAAAGAATTCAGGATTGGGAATTCAATTCCTACCTGACTGAGTGATGGAATCATTGTTTACAGATTGAAAAACTAATTTTCACTCAATTCCTCAACAATAAAAAATTAAAAATGTAATCCTTGACGAGTTCCCCAGATAATAGTAATTTTGAGAAATTCCGCTAGAATTGATACACAGTAACTCAATTCCTAGTGAGTTCCGGAAATAGAAAGTAAATTCCAATTCCGAAATTCAGGAAATTTATCCATTCCGAAAATTTTAATTTCAATCCTAATGAATTAAAAAGTCAGGGATTTCATCAACAATTCAACAATCGCAATGAAGTTGATGACGTGTAATATAGGAATATAACGCCATTCAAATGATACAATTTGGACATTTGGACCGAATTCCAACCAGGAACTACACATAATACCTGAAAACGCCAAACAATGAGACCCTCGGGGCTGCATCACATTCAGCTGTTAAATCAATTCGATCCCCTGAAATAGTCAAATTAACTTCCATTGAAGCTCTAATCAAGTTCCGTTCGGAAATAATTGAAATGTGATTCTCCAATCTCCATTCTTGTCTCCTTGTGGCTACAATAAATATCTCATTTAACCCTAATCTATCTCTAGAACGATTCAAATCCTCGCAAATCCATCCCGAATTCTCATGAGGAAAAGAATACTTCGAGCACTAGAGAGGAACTAATGTGAGCTGATTTTAATCATCACTCTCCTAAATCTTCATCCAACATCAAGCATCTGCTTATACAATACAGGAGCTAAATAACTCGTTAATAACCTGAGCGCGCTTAATTGTTACCCCAGAAGTTTCGTCTGGTGGTTCCAAAACAGATCAATAATTGGAGGGTACTTTCCCCCGAGTCTTTGATGTTATAATAGCGCGGCGAGAAGTCAAGTTGATTACAAAGCAGCCAAAATAATGTTGATTTGCCCGCTTCCATCAATTAGGAATCATAACCTTACTCTAGTCTCCAAGCAACATCAACATCAATGAGAAGCTCTTGCGCATTTCCATCGAAAAGTTTTGTTCCACAAATTTCAAATTGTTTTCATCCTCGTCAATTATGGTAAGGTGTTCCCAATATTGTTTAGTTTGGTTAGGAACACCATCAAGGGATTCTTACCCTCTGTATCTGATCCGTGATTAGGCAACTTTAACTAAATGTTCAAGCGAATGCATTTCTGGATGAATTCTCCATCGAAACGATTTCTATTCCTGATTTGATTTTCTCCTCTCAGTGCCCAATCAACTATCTGGTTCCCAACTTTAGCAAAATTTTTCAGGGAAGGGTTGAATTATAGATGGCGAGTCAAAATATAATGGATCTTCATTCAACAGTGAGCATCTGCTTAGATAGTGAATAAGCCAAATAACTCTTCAATAACCTGACCTTAATTGCTATGCTTAATTATTACTCCAGAAGTCTCGTCTCGTGGTTCCAAAATAGATCAATAATTACAGGGTAGTTTCGCCCCAAGTCTTTGATGTTATAACAGTGCGGCGAGAAGTCAAGCCGATTACAAAACAGCCAAAAGCAATGTTAATTTCCCCGTTTCCATCAATTAGGAATGCTAACCTTGCTCTAATCCCCAGGCAACATCAACATCAATCAGAAGCTAATGCCCATTCCCATTAAAAAGTTTTGTTCCGCAACTTTCGAATTGTTTTCTTATCCTACCCGTATTTATCAATCTGTCCAAAACATCCCGAATCAATAATTAATCACTTTCCGGTTGTAAGTTGGCGAAGCTTAAATCCATAATGAGGATATACAATCTCCAAAGTTTCGAGTTACTCGCTAGAGATGTACGGAAATGTGTTATGCTCTTGGGATACTAACGAACAACAGTTAAGAGCAGTTGCACGACTGCATTTCATCGATTTGTTGGCTACCCTCAACTTTACTCGGTGCCCTGAGGTGAGAGAGAACGCTGTGGTATATCTACTACTCGTGATACCAGAATTTCAATATCCTTCTGTGATTTATGAGTTCTTGGGTATACAGAAATTTTGGAGTACTAAAAGTTTAAGACTCATTCGTCATACCTGATTTCAGGTCATATCTTCAATCAGGAATTGAAGGCCTATTTGTTAAGAGCCGACCTCAGATGCTGGCATTCGGTCATATCGAGGATCTGATTCCTATTTCCACTCGCTTTGATGAAGACTTACATTTTAATCCTTTCTAATGATAATGACCCAGGTAGGAATTGACGAAGGAAACAGGGCTGGTCAAGCCTTGAACCAAGGCTCATAAATGCTGGATGAGGGCTGGCAACCAAGCTTGGATCAAACCTCATTGAGCCCTGAAATACTAACCATGTTCTCAGGCTGGGTGACGAGGCCTGGGTGAGGCCTGGGAAGAAGGGTTCATTCAAGCCTCAAAATATCAAATATCATTGTTTTTTAAAATATTATCTCATTATTTATGTTTACTAGTATTATTTCACGATTGCTGATTATCTCATAACTTCCATTATCAAAAGGAATGGGAAAAAAAATTTGCACCCGCCGGGATTCAATCCTAAGTGTTTCTGATCTGTAGTCCGATACGTTATCCACTTGGCCATTCGGACAATTGTTGAAATGTAGGATTTCATTTTGGTATAAGAAGTACTGGGCGTGTATTGTATTTGTTTTTCCGTTTCAACCATTAACAACTGTTTTTTTTGTATTCCAATATATCAATGAATCAAAAACTAATTAATTCATTTTTTTAACGAAATTTGGGAAGCCTCTCTTGCCAGGGGCTGCCGCAAGCCTTGTCCAGATCTAGCTCATTTGGTTTGACGGGAGGTCACGGTAATGCCTATTGACTGGATAGAGAGACTTTTCTTCGTTGATAAATATGAAATTATTGACAAAGAAGGTAACAATTGGTTGGAAGGTTACCTTAGTTGAGCCTTGGGTGAGCCTTTCCGTATTCCGTCCTAATACTCCAAGTCTGAACTAAGCCTGAATTAAGACTCCCCAAAAGCCCTATCTATCACAGTCATTTCAGGCTGAAGTGAACGCTAAGAGCAAGCTTGCTCCAGACTTGTGTCACTGAGCCTCGTCAAACCAAGGCTCGTACAAGC